TCGACTAAGAACGAATTTACTGGGAAAAATCTGAATATTTTTCAGAGACAGAGATATGAGAATGCTTAAAATCGTTCATTGTCTATTGGTCCATTCTCTGACTTCTCCAGGTTTTTAATGACTTTTCGAAAGCTTGTCATCCTGTCAAACTCAAAACGTGCGAAACTATAGCTTGCTGCATGTGGTTGGAATATTCTGCCGTGCTAAGAAAAAACGCCGTATGATGAGCCTTCAGGCGTTGCCAAATTTCCTTTGAAAAATTTCTGATTTTCAAGAAAATTTGTGCATATTTCTCTTCAAATTTCTCAGATAATTTTGCTCGTAATTTGATCTAAAACATGGTGTCTAGTTTTCTTGGCAAAGCTCATTCCCTGATTATTCCCTGATTTTCCTTGATTTTCAGGAGCTCATTCCCTGATGAGAAACCAAAGTTTTCTCCCATTTCCCCGGGATTTTCTCGGGGAAAAGAATATAATTTTCCAGCGTTTTAGATGTGAATATCGATTTTAATTAATCTAACAGCCATTTCTTTGGCGCACGTCAGAGTAGACCGCCAAATTTGAGAACGAAATGATCCTTTGGTGGTTGGAGAAGAGATGACCGGTTTCTGGAACAGATTCCCCGATTTTCCCGGTAATTTTCATTCCCTGATGAATCCCGGTTTTCCCGGTTTTTAAAAAACTAGACACCATGATCTAAAAAGTTCAAGAAAAAATACTGGTAATTTTCCTCAAAAACAAACATTTTATCGGAGGAAACTTTGCAATGTCTGAAGGCTCATACGGCGTTCTTCCTTAGTACGGCAATATTCTCCTGAGAGCGTGGCACGCGTCGTCGTCGGGTCGGGACTCTTGCGAGGCAGTCGGGTCGTCGTCGGGCGAGTTGAAAATAATCATGTAAGACAAGAGATGTGAGGTGGAGGGGGGCGCGGGGGCGGGTTCAGGTGAGTAATGAAGGGCGACAAGCGGGAAGCGGGCCGGTCAGCTGTAGTTGGCCCCTGCTGGCCGGTCACCAGTGCGCTTCGCTCCGAGCGCAATTGGCCGAGCCGCCTCGCGCGGCCGCTGCTTAGCCCCGCCAAGATTGATTGGTCCGCCGGGATCCCCGCCACCACTGCCACCTCGTCGCACTCCAATTTTCAATCCGCCGCCGGATCCCGAGAGGATCCTTTAAGGACCTTCCCTCTCCGTAGCCCTTTCCGAGTGGGACAAAGTGTAAATCCCACTTTTTTAAGGTGATTAGGAACCACATTAAATTCCCCGCAACCCTCATTAAAATATTACCAAACCCTGAACCCGTAGTCTACAAAAAAATAGCAATCTTTCTCTCGCACAACAAAATCCAACTGTAAATACCATCTATCCCTTTCTCATTTCTATTCTCATCTTCTCTCTCCTACTTTTTCCTGGAATCTGGATATATGTTTTCCACGGCTCTGTCCTAGGTTAGCAATACATATATAAGTCGTTCCAGTTGAGCCTCTGTGGACGTGAAAATAACCAGGTCTTCAACTGACCATCAAAAAACCCCAATACAAGACAATCTATATCATCTCATAAAACCTCATTACTATCCCTTTATCTCCTACAGAATACTAATATAAATCCCTAGAACTATTATGACACCTACCCTTACCCTTTCATCCCAGCTTTGATTAAAACCTAAACTTTCCAATTTTAGATCCCTTCCAAGGCCGCAGTATCCCCCGGATATAAAACCCAAAACAACATACGAAAAAAAAAAAAAAAGTAGTGATTAGGACCGACCGTGCTTAAACTCACATGCTTTGCATGGCAATGATTAACTAAAAGACCCTTACACATTTTAAGAGTTTGCCAAAAAGAAAAAGAAAGAGGATGGTTAATGCTTTTCAATCCACCGCCGGAGTCCTCGAGGATCCTTCAAGGACCTTACCTTCCCTTTCCGTCTTCCTTATATAGTGAAACAAAGCGTAAATCCCACGTTTTTAAGGTGATTAGGATCGGTCGTGGTTGAACTGAAATGCTGTGTCAGGGTGTCTAGTTTGTTTATATTTCGGAAAATTCTGATTTTTCTTGATTTTTGACTGCTAAATCCTGATTTCATAATTTTTCCAAATCCTGATCAAATCCTGATTTTTTGCGGAGAAAAAATAAAATGTCTTCATAAGCGTGTGCGAAAGCATAACAAAATCCGATCAGACTGCCGACTTTTCTCAAATTCTGATTTTTCGACCGATTTATTCCTCAAATCCTGATGAAATCGAGATTAAATCCTGATTGGCCTCAAATCCTGATGAGGTCCGGATTAAATCCTGATTGATCTCAAATCCTGATAGATTCGGGAAAATCCTGATGCTAGACACCCTGTGTGTATAGCAACGATTGACTAAAAACTCCTTACTTACACATTTTAAGCGCCGTTTTGACGGATATCATTACGTCTCGTTAATGGACAAGTCTCAGTCATGAAGACACGATTCTGCAACGAGCATGACTAGCCCATTAGAGATTTTTCGAATGCAGTCTTCCATCACACGGCGCACAGTGTATCGAGACAAAAGGAGAGGACGGACATGCAATGTTTCACTAAAACTGCAAATTTTGATGTTTCTTTCGTCACATTTAAAATTTCAAGGGGTGGTTTAGGGAGCAAATTTCACGAGAAAACCAATGAAACCACTTTTACAAATAGAACCTCAATGTTTTGTAATAAACGGAGTTATAAGCGTTTAAAAATTCCAAATTTGGTCCGACCTCTCCTATTAACTCGAGCCACTGTGCGGCGCGCAGCCCATGTGGTTCAATGGTTGGGTTTTTGTAAGGACAGGACCCGGTGAACGGAATGCGAGTAGGAACGAAATCAAATCAAAGGAAGTCAACATGGACCAGGGACCAGGGACAAAAGGATACAAGGCTGAAAAGCTGCCGGGGCAGAGGTATAGAAAAATAAACAGCGAGCTCGAGAAAGTAAAAAAGTCGCCGGAAAGGTTAAAAAACGAGAACAAAACACGAGACCACGTCGCGAAGCATGTTGTTGCGCCTCGAGGCCCGAGGCAGCGACCGACAACTAACTTTACCACCTCTCATATCAAGTAATTTACTCTATCTATCAGTTATCCGCCTCCTTTCTTCCCTCTTTCGATAGCGAAACTACGAGGCCGCATATTTCAGATTGCGGCGTTGCGGAGGTCGAGGCACAGTTTACTTTTTTTGGGAATGATTTATCATTATTGCATTATCTCTACTTTCTGACAAGAGTAAAATATCGGCCAAACTGAGCCATACGTTATGGATATAGATCCAGGAACTCTGTGTAATTGTGTACTACCAAAATTCTGAAATTCTTCACCTCTCTTAATTTAAAAATCTATACTTTCGTATATAATCCCATTTTCAAAATTATCTGTAAAGACGTTAATAGCCTGAGACGCTGAATGTCTTAAAAGTATACTGACTAACTAACCCTGATTTAGGGCTGAGGATGCACTTGATGTCCGAAATTTACATCCAATGAAACAATTACCGACTATCGTGTAAAGGCAAGACTTTCTTCTTCAATTGAATTTATTTAATTAACACGCAAGATGCGATACCTCAATTAATAAATATTTCCTTCGAGATTGTAGCGTAATAATTGTTGCGTTTACGGGGGAAAAAATGGAAAAAGCGTGAGATGCGTCCCGCATTTACTACACCAATCAATTAACGAGACTCAACGCAACGCGACGTGATGCAACGCAAGGTTCAGATGACGAGGCGGTGGAGCACGGCTAAAATAGGCCACTATTCGTGCTCGTAGACTGTCCGTGTTGCATACACGTCGAAATTAAGGCGCTCCACTCCTGTCTCACAATCAGACCTACATCCTACATCCGACAGCGATCCTATTTGGACGTCGCGCCACAATTGGTCTATTGACTTAAGTCATAGGATCAATCTTCTAGATTCGCTAAAAATAATAAAGCTGTCAAGATAGTAAATATTTACTGTCAATATCGGCGGAGTTATCGCCTTTCGAAAACGAGAGATATGGAGTCGTAGAGGGCTGCATTTGTTCAACCCGTCCTTATTTTGTAAAAAAATAGATGCGGTGCAGGTGCGTCAGTGCTTTTGTCTGGGTCACTACTAACATGGGTCATTTTGACCTTATGCTTGTTATTTTGTTGTAACGTTTTAGTGGAATCGATCCAGAAATATATGCTTCTGCAGTATTTCTCATACAAAAACCTTTAGAAACACGATTTTATCAGGTTTTTATTCATGGTTTAGAGGGACCCTTATTTAAAATACATAGTATTTGCAAGTTCTCGGCGGAATATAACGACGGTGTGAGTCGGCAATCACATAACTCGGTTTGCGACGTCGCAGACTTCCTGTCATACTTTATTTGTTAAACGGAAAACCACTCAAAGGCAATTATTTAAAACTGCCGTGATTTTTCTTCTCTGTGAGAAGACATTTCTGCATAAACTTCAAGGAATGATATCAATTTGTTCTCCTTTAAAAAAGTAATAACATTGAGACAGAGATTTTCAGACACTACAAACGAGACATGTGATTGACGACTTACGCCGTCGATAAGAAGTTTGTTTGTTGGTTGAACTCAATAATTTGAATATTTTCCCATCAATAATTTTCATTTATTCTAGAATTATCTGGAAATTTTAACCCAAAAACTCCTCAAGACCCCTGGCAAGATGTAAGGTGGCCCCAAAACGAATTCCAGAAGGAATCCCGTTCATTACTCAGTATTGAGGTTTTTATTGATTAAGACGTATCGTACATTGCTCTTCGTCTGCAAGGTTCATATGACCTTCCTCCATTTTTCGCTATAAGTTTCTCTAGTACTTGGTATTCTACGAAAGAGAAATCCGATGAATGAATGTGAATTTTCGATTTATATGACAACAGAAAAAACTGGAATGCGTGACGACCTCGACTTCTGGAGATGGTAAATGGAAAGATGGATTAACGCAAATGCGTGCAAAGTGACGAATCAGTGATAAATAAAATCAGCCTTACCTTCTAAGAACTTTTATTTCATTTTCTAAGGAGTCTTCTTTCCCTTTAAGAGCTTTTTTGTCGATTATTTTAACAGCGTACATCTGGCCTGGCTTGTCCTTGCTTTCCGCCAAGCGCACTTCCGAAAATGCTCCCCTGCACAGAAAAACAAAAAACCATTCATGTATAAAACGCATTCCGGACAAGGGTTCAGAGAGTTTGAATAGAATCATACGAACATAAATGATTATCATAAACAAACTTTTGTGAGAGTGCGTAAATATTATACTAAACTTACAGCTAGTCCGCCGGGCTAAGAAAAAACGCCGTATAAACCTTCACGCGTTGTCAAATTTCCTTTGATAAATGGTAAACTTTTGGATATTTTTCTTCTGATTTTTCAGATTATTTTGTTCGCACTTTCACCTAAAGTTCCTGAAAATTTCAAGAAAAAATATTCATTAATTTCCTTAAAAATGAACGTTTCATCGAGGAAAATTTGGCAACTCTCGAAAGTTCATACGACGTTCTTTCTTAGCACGATAGTATTGGAGTCCGGAGGTACGAAATTGGGGGCAGTTTTTACGTCGCTTATCACGTTTCCCGCTCGAATGTGGAAAAGAATGTGCGGGGGATGAAAATGGGAAAGGCAGATGCAAAGTATCCGAAGTATTTTCTCGCCTCGTTTTCCGATTCGAGTGTTATAGCTTGATTGTGTGGCGTGTGAAGTAAAAATGGAGAATACGGCTCGCCCTCGCCCGAGAAAACGGAAGAGGCAGAGGAGCTTTCTGGGACGGAAGTTCTTGGCGGCTGGAGAACTTTTCCGGCTAACTTTTAAGAGAGTGCAAATGTGATGGCCCCAGTTCGAAAGCACACATTTTTACTCGCCTCTCCGTTCGAGGTTGTCTAGTTTCAAGTCTTTCAACGTACTGTACCGTCCGAGCGTCATTCTTACAATGCACACACGGTTAAAAATTCCCGTGCGTGGATTGTTTACTTGGGATTACTTTGAGTTACATTTTTCGGTCAGATCAACCGGGAGGACTTGGTTGATCGACCGAATGTTTACAAACAGATTGCGGTGGACGCACGAGCGGTTAGACAGTAGGTTGGATTTTTTTAGGCAACGTGCGTTAAAAATCAAGAAAATTGGAAATCTCAATAATACAGAGCTCAAATCGTGCTCAAACGAGGTTTTTTCCTCTGTATTGAGATTTTCAGTTTTCTAAATTTTTAGCGCACGTTGGCTAAACATTAAACAATTCCAACCTACTGACCAAATTTTTTTTTGAATCGACCAAAGTCGAAGGTTACGCTGAGACATCTGGAGGTGAAGAAAGTGTCCAGCGGGTCAATTATTGAAATTGATAGACGAAGCTATTGACAAAGAAGACAAAAAGGATGGTGGGATCCGATTGGTAGAGGCTGGTGGTTGCAATAGATAAAGGAGGTAGGTAATAGACTGACGAACGACAACCCACGAGAGACCCTTTAGGTAGTCCATCATTTCTCCCTAAATCTAAAGGAACCACCCATTTCAACCAATAGGATTGCTCCATACTCCCTATGTATTCTTCGTCTACCGCTTTGTCTATCAATTTCAAGAATCAGCTTCCTCTCGTTGTCACTCGGAGGTTGCGACTTGAGAGAGAGAGAGAGAGTGGCAACCGTACTGGACTATCACTAAGCAATCTAGGTTCGATCCTAGTGGATTGCGTCTGAATTTTAAGGAGGTTGCAAAGTTTTAACCCAAATATTTGATTGTGGCCTGGTTACACGATCAAATTCCCGTCAAATTCCGATCAAAATGATGACCAAGATGGCGGTCGAGAGTTATCTAGATTGATGGGTAAAATTAATTAAAACAGCGTGTTGATTGAAATAAGCATGAAATAAGCACGGTTGTGTGGAAATCAGATGAAGGATGAGCCCCCCAGCTCCATCATCTACCATCAAATTTTTGCAGGCCGCAGAAATTTGATGGTAGATGGTGCGCACCAGTCACCATTTGATCGGAATTTGACTGGAATTTGTTCGTATAACCAGGCCATTGGAGAGAAGATCATAAGGAAATCCATAAAATGGATCTCCTTATAATAAAAAGTTGTTCCGGGTGCTGGGTTAGTTCTCATTCGGGTGGGCTGCAAGCAGAGAAAGCAACTTCGTCAACACTGTCACGTTGCGCGTCACGGATGCCCGATGGGAATGAGGCATCATCCACCATCCAACATCCACCATCCACCATCCAACATCCAACATCCACCATCCACCTGCCACTTTATCGCCGACTCATCACTCCCGCACTATATCCCAACTCTCCGACTTTGGCCCTCGCCTCTCAGCGCCTGGAGGCGAACATCTCTCGCAAAAAGTTTTGCACTCTTCTTGTACAGCTATCCTTATACGCTTGGCGGTGGTTTTGGCAGCACAGGGACCGACTTGACAATGAGACCATCCTTCCTCACTTTTCTTTTTCTTCTTTTTTTTTATTCTTCTTCTTCTTCTTCTTCTGAGGAGGAGGAGGAGGAGGGGGGGGGTTTCTAAAATTTGTAAAATGATTTCCCTGTAGATGATTTCAGCATTTACTTGATTTTTGGAACGTCGGAGCGATAAACAAGGTACGAGCTAGCGCTAGGGCATTTCATGAAATATTCAAAATTCAAAATTTTACGTGGAAGATGATTCACATGACGAACGAGACAGCTAAAAATCACTTATAAATACTAGAACGAGAAAATAATGAGTAAACAAAACTAGACACCTTTAATAAGGCCATTGAATTAAAAGTTGTTTAATTACATCAAGTTCTCCTCTCAAGATTTGTATGGTAGGACGACCTCATAGCCAAAGGTAACCCGGACGACCGCCCAACAGATGGGCACAGAGCTGCCTTTCATCCCCGGAGAGTTAACCCTCTCTCATCGCCATCATATGTTATTTGTCATATTTATTTTTAATTATTCATATTTATTTATTTATTTATTTATTTATCTATTTATTTATTTATTTATTTATATATTTATTATCATATTTGTCATATTTATTTATTAATTTAGAGGCTAGACAAACAGGGTCACGGCCCTAGTCAAAAGGTAGAAGAAGAAGAAGAAGTTCTCCTCTCTTCGTTGTCACGGCAGTGGGGACAAAGAGCAACGCCTGCGGCAATGCTTGGCTAGAAAAGCGGCAACTACGCTGCGGGCGCTAATATTCCGTTTTTCACTCGATTCCGACGGTTAATACGAGAAAATAATACGTAAGATTTTTCTAATGAAATTACGCAAAATGAGCGTCTGAAAAGCGATCTTTGAGTCCGTCTCCGTATCATTATTCCGTTTGAACACACTACTTAGCTCTAGGAGCTCCTGAACTGGGGCCCGGAGCTCGGCAATTTCTCACTCACGGTCACGGTCTCTTTCAGTGGCGTGGCGTGCTTTGCGATAGATCGATTGTTATGTCATTTGAAACTATTGAAAAGGATCGATAAACAGGGTGTTCGCAGCGAACACCTGAATAATCGATTCTTTACCGTAGGTTTTAATGGCATAACAATCGATATATCGCAATTCACGCCACGCCACTGGTCTCTTTGCTAGGCGCGTCGCCGTCAACGGCCATCTCAGTAACTGAAGTCTCAGTACTTTACATTCAACCCAACATTCTATACAGAGAGTATACCATCATCAGAGACACATGCACCTGTATAGCTGTAGCTAAGAGAATAAAATAACCTTACAAGTAATTTTGGAAAAAGAAGATACGAGTACTTACATTCTCGACAAACATAGTAAGAGATCTATCTATATATGTATGTCGAAGGCAGTTAGTCAAATCAGGCACTTGATCAAATGCCCAGGCCGTTGTTCAAATTTTGACAGTTTTGGAATTCTATTTTATGGCGAGGAGGTCACGGGTTTTCGATATTTTGGGGAAAATAACTCTTCAAATCCTCGAACTCTCATCGTTCCTTCCTTTACACGCCTTTAGTACATTTAAATGCTGACATTTTAAAAAGTAGGGTAAAAAATCAAAATTTCAATCTAAGTAAAATATTTGACTATTTGCCGAGGCATTTGGCAAGATGCCTGATTTGACTGTTTGCCCTCTACATTTAAAAGAAAATCGGTTCTGATATTTAACGCTAGGCCTGCGATAATGTTGGGGTTTTAAAATTTGTAGAATACGATTTAGGCAATTGAGCTGTTTCGTTCCCCTAACACCCATCCTGTGATTTTGGCCTTCTTCTGCAGTTATACAACTACTTTGTTTCATTTCTATTTTTCTGCGTCTAAACTACGTTATAGGTCAACGAGAAATTTGGATTTCTTTCCTCACTCAAAAAATGATACTTAATTAAAATTTCCTCCGACATTGCAGCGTCGAAATTATTGGTTGCACTTTAAAAGATGAATCAAAATTCGAAAAAACGAGAGGTGCGTTACATTTCCACACTGGCCAACTCCATCAATGCACTCGCAAAAATTATACAGGGTGTACCAAAAGTCCGTCCCACCCCTGCTAACTTTTGAACGAATTGAGCTGGGGAAATGAAACTTTGGGAATGTTTCTATCTCAAAGGGGACCATCTTTTAGGGGGGGTCCAAATTTTTGTCCCCCCTCAGGGGGGGCGCGGGGGGCCCCCAACTTTTTTTTTCAAATGGCAACCCCTATCTTGTGATACCTCATTCGAAAGAGCATAAAAAACTAAGAATTTTGACGCAAACCGCAGATCAATATCTTAATTTTCGACCGAGTTATGCTAGGTCAAAGGTCAAATTTGACCTATTTTCGAAAAATCATAACTCCGGTTCAAATTATCGTAAAGAAAAAAATAAAACGGGAAAATTTACCAAATTGTGTCCGCTTTTAAGTAAAAATTGCAGAAATCACTTCGATTTAATTTTAAGGGGGGGTTCGGCCCCCCCGCAAATAGGTCAATTCGAGGGTCATTCAATTTTCCCGCGAAATAAGCCAATTTCCCCTAGATTTGCCTCCACATTATCTCAGTAGGTCGAAATCAGTTCAAAATTACGTTGGCAAGTCCTCAAATTTCGGGAAAAGTTTTAAAAAAACGAAATTTAAATGGTCAAATTTAATCACCTTAAATTTCGTTTTTTTTTTTAACTTTTCCCGAAATTTGAGGACTTGCCAACGTAATT